CCAAAATTGGAGCTATCGGTTGACCTGAAGAAGGAGATCGATAAAGTTGAGAAAGCGATAGTAAGTCACTAGGATTGCAGGCCAGACAATACTAATACAACCAAGGATTTCAATAGAAAGATAAACCCTTAACTATAATCAAAGAGGAGTCACAGGAGCTCAAAAATATTGACATGTTTAATCTCATGAAATATCTTTCTTGTTGTTAGGTAGTTATGTAAGTGGCTCATATATGTAGCCTGAAAACACATTATTTTTGAGATATGATTATGCTTGGATGAATTACATATGCTCTGACTGCTAGCCTAGTATTTTCTACCAGATATGTTTCTCACTAATATATCCTCCTGCAATTTCCCTCACTCATCTGAACCACTATCTCATTGCCTGGACTGAGTGAAAGTCAAAAATCTCATAGATGCATGAATAGGTCTTCAGTATTAATTAGAAACACCTTTGAATTACACACAGTTCTATGTGGACATATAACTAATACAATTAGGCCGTAATTTTTTCATCATCATCACATGTCCATCACGCATCTCATCTGGGTCTATCACACACTCAGTCCATCTTATATCTCTCACAATATTACACTAATTAAATTGTGCACAAGAATATTATGTTATGGTAAAAGATCACGTGTAATGAAAAAAAAAACATATATCATTGATGATAGATATGGATTATCTACATTCAAATACACTCCACAACTTTGAAGTATGGATATTATGATCTTATTAGCTGAAATTGGTGGATTATTGTTTTGATGTAGCATTTGAAACTCGAAACCAGCTTTTTGATTAGATGATACAGACACTTTTCTCATCAAGTATTGGTACTCTCATACTGGATGTAGATCACATTATAAAGGATATTTGTAAATGAGTTTGGTTAAATATATGGTTTTGTTGACCCTAAGGCCTCAGAAACAGATATTGAGGACTCTTCTACAAATAACCCATTCAAATAACTATAATGCAGCCCACAAAAATATGCACAAAGTAAGGTATTTTAGCCCCTTTATGTGCAGACATATATGTGTGACTCAATAGATATATAGCAAATAATGATGTGTCAGGTGTATATTATATAATTTCTGCTCCTATCACTGTTTTATCTGTGAAGTTGATCTTAAAATATGGCATATAGTTACAGTAGTTACTTTGCATACTAGGTAGTATTCAAAGGAAGTTTCTACTTTTGTATCCTGCTAACAGAGTTTTGTTGTCATATGTCTATGTCTCTCAGCATATATTTAGGCTAGTTACTAATCCAAAATAAATTAGTAGAATTGTTTTGATTTTTCTAAGACTAAAAGAAATAGTGTTTATTAGACATAACAGAGTAGGTAGGAACTAATAAGACCTAATACACTTATATATTAATTCTTGAACCTATTTTGGTATAATACATCAATCCTTAGAGCATTTTTAGAAATCAATAAATTTGTTTGCTTTAAATCTACAACTACACTGCCTAAAAGTGAATACATTTCTTAGTATACCATACCTGCATTAGATTGGTTTCATACAGATACAGCTGTGCTTATTTAGCAGGAAATTATATGACTCAGCACAAGAAAATTGTTATGATATAGCAGCAAAAATCTCTACTAAAACTCTGCTAAGATATCTAATAACCTTCTTGTATATTTAATTTTCTGATTGTCAAGCAGCTCCTTCTTTTACAAATGTAGCTACTGTCTAAAGACATTATCATCACTACTATGATGTGACAGTTTCATTCTATTATAAAGAGTGCCAATACTCTATAACTCACTTTTATAGCTATTATATGTTTCCATTGTCTAAGTGTGGCAAACATTTTAAATAGTAGCATGACATAGAAAATTATATTACTATTGATTATAACATTAATATTGATACTGAACTTTTTATGGCTCCTTTAATAAGTAAGTATTATATAACATCAAGTAATTATCTTATTTTTGTATTGACTAATGCTATTGTAGCTGTAAATCTCTCTGATATACTTATCAGTTATCTCAAGCTATTAGTATATTGATATAATAAATGAGGGAGATCACTTTTATCACATTGACATGTACTCTTTTATGGTACAGTATTAATAGTTAAGATGATAATGATGATGATTATAGGATAAATATTGTAAGATATATTTATTACTTGTATCATTTAGTATTCTTTAAACTAGCTTCCCAATCTCAATCATTACAGTGTTGACTTCCACTTTAAGTCATTGGATTTCCCTTGTAACATTAGATGTCAGCAGCATTGCCTGCACTGGTCACATGTTTAACCTAAAGGTGTTGCTGCTTGATATAACCTATTTGCATCTGGTACATTATTATCCTTACCCAACTTTCTACTCACTTACATTATGATCATCATTATCAGTATCTTCCTCAGCTTTTCTCTTTTCTTTGCATGCTGGCATGGTGGTTACATTGAAGGTTAGTTCTAATCTCTGTCATCTTATTGATTATTGTACTTTTCATCGATTACATACTCTCCCTGTTCTAAACTGCCTCATAGTGTTATGCACCGCGATCTTTCAGTATGTTAAATATTAACCAATTCCATGTCATCTAGTGTCATATTAAGATAATCTCAAAAATAGTGGGCTCATTTGTGGCCTTCCCAGACAGCTGCATTGCATAGTTAGTTTTATTATATAAACTATGTAAGCTTCTTGTATGCACAATGCTGTATTCATTTTGCCAACTTAAATACTTTTAAATTGGTTTCTTAAGCCTCTGCATATACAATTATTCATGTCAATGTGACCCCAAAGATTCAAATTCAAGATTTGAAGTTAACAAATTTACATTTATTTTTTATTACTTAGCATTCAGAATATTATTATATGTTCTTCTAAACACTATTTCCTTGGTTTATTAGATGTCAAAGAACTAACATGGAAATATCATATAAGATAATACTATCAAAGTCTAGTCCAGTCAGATTCATAGTACTATATCTATAAACTCTAACCTTAGGCAACTAACTCATTCACTTTGATACTAGAGTTTTAAATAATACAGATAGGATCAGTTTATAGATATTTGCATGACCTAGCTATAATAGACAGAATGATAAGTTATAGTTGAGAAACATTTGGTTGCTATAGAATAATAAATAATTATCATTTTGAATTTCCACTTTGGGCTAAGATAGCAGATCATGTCTTAGACATTGGTAGACATAAGTATGGATCCTAGCATAATATTAACCTATATGAGTTATCATTAGTAGTATCATACACTTACTTTTATAGGACCTTTCAGTAAGGAGAAGCATGCTGCTTATATATAGTAGCAATTTTTGGTGCTATAAAAGACTGCATATACTAAAGTAGCTTGTCTATTGCCTCAGCAGTTTGCTTCCGAGTATCTGCCATTAAGTTTGCTTTTGCCCTAAATATCTTTCATATGTCTAAGTGATGGGTCTTAGTGGTGAAATAGTTCATATTAGACTTCAGGTGGTTTACAAAGTTGAACATTGTGACCTATCTCATTGTAAAACCAAATATCGCTGGTGATCTTTAGAGAGAAAATACTCATAACAAATAGTGAAATATAAAAACATACTATCAGAAACAGTATTCAAGGGAAGATGATCCAATAGAAGAATAACTTTCTCATACTTAGGCAAAGCTTCAAGTTTATCTAAGGAGTATGTAAAGTTCTGACAGATAATAACATAGACCAATGCTCTATTACACTTAATATGTAGGAAGTCAGACTGAGAGTTTTTGATATAGTGGACATCTAACTCCATAAAAGTTGTTAAATATATTATTAGTTTGTCATATGTGTCAACTTATTATTAGAGGCAATGCAGTCATTAAGTCAAACTTCATTTATATGTACATAGCACTTGTAAGTATATCTTTTCCAAGTAGGCTATCTGCCTCATGTTCATATCTGTTATCTGTTACCTCTAACTCATAGATATGTACTAGCTCATTTACCTATCTTGATCTGGTCTATGTGTCATCATTTGTTCCTATATAAGTACTATAGACAGCACTTGTATTCCTTACTTTAATCTACTAAATTATAGCTGAAAACATATTCTCCAGTAAGATCTCTAATATTACTATCCAGAACCACTATTCTAAGAGAGCCACTACTGCTGCCTTAGCCTGAATAACTTGAACTCTCATTCAATAGAAGAACCCTGTCTGTCTTACTAGCCAATTGCTAGCAGACTCGCTTTACCACTCTGTTTGTCCTGTAAATGTTAGTCAGTTTCCCATTCAGGATCCACGACTAGGGCTAGATACTTACCTGAGTTGCATATCAAGTTGTTTTAGAGCATACCTCTTCAACAGAATTAAGATCTTGGGAATTACATGTGTCTCAATGACTATAAAAAGCTTGTTAATTGCCTTTATTGTCTCTAGAGACTATAGCCTTGTATCCCTAGTGACCCTAGGGAATGCCTGTTGCACTTCCCATACCCTCAAATGTAAGCCAAGGGATGATGAATAGTTTCCCTCCCTTATCCCTGCATCAACTTGGCAGCCAAAAATGGGGGTGAAGTGGACGATGGACTTTCTCAGAATCCTTGGGTGGCAGTATAAAAAAGGGCATCATTAGTCTCAATAGCAGCTTCATGAAAACTTAATATACCTTGAGCACATCAACTTCATGGCTATGTGTTTAGAATTTTGTGTTGGAAGTGATCAATGTACTCTTTGGTTAACCAGACTGCTGACCAATGATCACAGGGTTCTGGACATTCATTTCCTTGCCACAAGATTGGATTAACAAGTTTAGCCAAATTGTTGCCATCCATAGAGACAAGAAAGGCAAACCATAATGAGGGTTCCTTATCAATAACATAATGACATACAGGGCACACATTAAGCATATGCCAATTGGATATATCCCACCCTAAGGCTGAATCCACTCAAGCATCAACATAACACTGAATTTCCATGTATACATCATATGTGACCCTGAATTGCTCAGTAAGGTGACAATGATAATGTACCTGTGAATTGTGAAGATGGGAGTAAAGTGGGCCTATGGTGCGAAGCTTGGAGATAAGCTTCACAAAAGCATTGACATGCATGCTAAGCTCACACCTAATGTACTCTGGGTGACCAGTAAGTAACTTGATAACCCAGTCTTGCCCGGATAGAGCTGAAGTATGGTAGGGTTCCAGATCTTGAGGATATATGGACTGTAGTATACTATGGGTGGCAGCAATAACAATGCTAATTACTAGTATCATACATTTTAGTAGTTATTCCCCCTTCTACCCCTACCTCTGGACCAGCACAACCAACCATACTAGCCCCTGCTGTCACCCCTGCAGCTACTCCTCCAGCCACTGCCCTAGCCTCAGTTAAGCTTAACAAGAAGAATGCCAAGACAATCATAACATCGATAACTCTTTTTCACAGTTCTATATGAAAATTTTGAGACACTGAAGATTCGTGAAGAGATGGTAATATCAATGTCATATACACAGAGGCTCTTCGAGATGGTGAGTTGGTGGCATTAGACCACGCAAAAGGAACAAAGCAAGTGAAATGAGCAAAGACTAAGCTACTGACAGGCACTAGGTATATGTACCTAGGTGCCTCAAGGTCTGGACAGGACCCCTGGCACCTCTGAAAGACCCTTGAAACCTTTGAAAGCCCCTAGCCGCTAACTCCTACTGACACAACAGATGTATCACACAACATTTTCAATACCCTCAATCTACATCTCTCACCTGTAGAGAGGGCTGATGTGGTGAAAGGCCACCTCTCCAGACTGAACTTCCTGCACAAGGCTGAAATTGTAAGTGTCTCATCTTACAATAATTGAGCAACTTATAGTCATGCCAACAGGTTGATGATATCGAAGTAACACATTTTCTGGAGGCTGACTACCTCATTAATATGATCGTCAATGTTGTATAGCCACAAGGGCTCTATGTTGACATCAACCGCAAGCGACTCGACTGTGTGTCTAGCCTTGCAGGAGCTGCTGTTCACAGTGCCCTTAAGGCATATCACGAGGGCATATATGAGAATGTCAACACATCCACTGAACAATTCTACAACATTTACAGTTCAATCATAGCATTGATTAATAGGATCAGGCTTGATGATGTGTTAAAGGAGAGGTACAAATTTTTGTGCAGATCAATCATCAGGTATGGAGAGGCAGATCTTGGGCTCTAGATTATGGGGATTTATCTAATAGTACAATCTTGAGATCATCTGTTATCTGTAATTTTACAATCAAATATTATCTGTTTTTTATGTATTTTTTGTGTTTGCAATGAGCTGAGTCGCAATAAGTACTAAAAAGGTGCACAAGCTGATGTCAGCTATTTATGGCTCCCAGAAAGTGCCTCAAAAGTGCATTTGCAGATCTTGGCTTTTCAGATGTAGCATTGAATGCTGTCCTAAATTACCTATAGCCTTTACCTATCCTATCTATGTACATATAGCTAGGTGGGGCAGGTATTTGGAGTCTATCGGCAACATATGTAAGCCTTTCTATGCCCTCCTGCCTGCTGCCTCTGCCCTAGAATGGTTGGCCCTAAGTCAGTATATTCTCATGCCCTTTCCCTCTTGCTCATTATCCCCCATGGCTACCACAATGCTACTTGCTGCTGCTGCCATCCTCTGGGAACCTTCTATCCATTCATTGAGGGCACCCTATTATCTTCAAGACCTCCCACAGTCCCAGTTCCAGCATATTCTTCATTTACATCAGCCTAGATATGTGAATGTCTGCCATGTCTCGCAGCTTAACTACTTTCAAGGTTTGCGGGAAGTCAATCATTTCCCACAACTTCCAAGGCCATCGCCGTCAATCAGATGTTCTTGCAGCTATATATGTACAGTCAAAAAATTCTGGAGACATTGCTATTCTAGCTTTTTCAGCCAAAACACAAAAAGTGAAAATTCAAGTTACATCTCAAGTAACTACTACAACAGATGTAAACTACCAACTACACAAGAGGCAAAAAAGCAAAAATTAAGAGAGGAAGGAAGAGAGCTATAAGAGGGAGTCAGACAGGAAAGACAGGAAAATAAAGAAAGACTCACCTGATAGCCAATAATGTGAAAATTGGAGGATCCTCTAGAAGAAACAATCAGAGAAGAAGGATGAAAAAAAACAGAAAGAAACTCGCCAGATAGCCAAAAATGCAAAAATTGGAGAGAATAAGCCTATAGCAGGAGCAGGAGCAGAAGACTTAGAGAAAAGGGTCAAAAAAGCGAAAATTAGAAGGAGAACTCACCAAAGGGAGGAGGAAAAAAAAGATATGGTCAAAGAGGAATACAAAGGATAACAAAAGACACTTACCAAAAGAAGAACCCCAGCACTGCACCAACATACACACCAAGATCAACACCAACCTCCAATTGAAGAGCAAGAGAATAAGAGTTGTTGAAGAAGATTGTTTAAGGGAAGAGAGTGGGAGAAGGAAAAGACTTGTGGTTGACTTTTTGCTTACCAAACAGTGCCAAACATTGGACTTGAAAGAATTTCACATTTTTTTGACTGTGGGAAAATTTCTGATGAAAAACAAAGTTGCAGCCCTTGTCAAGGGTAGTCTATCCATGGTCTCATGACATTTTTTAGTTAAGGTCTTAATGACTTATAAGCAAAATACTAGAAAGTGATGTGTTCAAGAAAGTTCAGACATACAAGTAATGTGACTGATATTTGCTTATTAACACTAGAAATACTGATAGTAACAAAAGACTTGATGAAATTTTGTGTTTTTGGTTATTAGAGACTAGGATTTTGATTAAGGACCATGATAAGGATTGACTAGGGTAGACTGTGGGAAATTTTCCAATAAAAATCAAAGTTGTAGCCCTTGTCAAGGGTAGTCTATCCATAGTCTTGTGACATTTTTTGGTTAAGATCCTAATGACTTATAAGCAAAATACTAGAAAGTGGTGTATTCAAGAAAGTTCAGGCACATAGGTAATGTGATGGATGTTTGCTTATTAAGACTGGGAATACCAAAGTCAAATAGTCTACCATACTAAGTCATCCATATCCTAACCAATTGTCAAAATTTTCATCAGGTCAAGGACAGCCTATTTCAGCTTTTTTTAGCTAAAAGTGCTACAAAATGTAACTTAGGCAAAAATAAGTTCAAACCCTTTTTCCTGATGCAGAGCAGTAGCTCAATAATCTGATGTGATGTAAGATTTTGGTGGGTACTATTACACCAGCTCACTTATAGTGTGTATTTTTGCCTCACATATAATATGTTGCTATATCCAACTTATTCAGATATTCAGCAGTAATTATAGATACTATTAAGTATGAGTGGGTAATTTAATCCATAAAGTGCAGTATTTCATATTTCTATGCTCTATTTGTTCATGATATTATTGGCAGTTTTCTCCTGTCTACTGATAGTAGTCCAAAAATGAAGGGTTTGACCTGATTCAAATGTGATATTCATACATCTATAGTGGATGGACTTATCATGATTTTTTAGTAAGGAGATCCTAGTGCTTGAGATAACACCAACATTATCCAAAGTGTTGTATTTGATGTGTAATCCTTGAATGATATATTGTATCAGGTATAGTTTACTAGTGTCTTTAAGCAATCCATTAGGAGGTTATAGAATATGATTTTAGAGATTACACATCAGTGTTACCAGTAATGAAAGTTCCAGCTCTAGCTAAAACTCTATTATACACTTCCTTTCACTTATAATTGAGATGAAAGATGAAAGTTAGGGTGATAAAGGAAGTTTGCAATAGATGCTTGGGTGGCAGACTGATAGTAGGTTGTACATTATTCAGGACACATGGGAAGTAATCAAATAAGTGCTAAACCAAACTTACGAGCTTGCAAGACCAGAATAAAGCCTATATATGTGAGTAACTAGTATGTTGGGAGAGGCAAAGAGAGTCATAAATAATGCACATGTATATGGAAATTTATCATATGACTATTTATATAAACCACTTGGGGTTTAAGCTCTTGACAGATAGCTTTATGCATGGGCTTGTGAGTATAAATAAAGAATATGAAAGGTATAGCTGGTTATCATTGTATAAGTAAGAGAAACAGTAATTTCTATACTACTGAAACTAGGTTGATTTGATTTAGAAAGTGCAATTCTGTCGTAATTATATGATATAGGGACTTCAATGACACAACCATATATCATACAAAACAAAATAGAATCAAAGCTAACTAGAATAGCAGAGCACTGTGACAATGTGACAGTATAGTGTGGTTTCAGGCATTATCTGAGGATCTATTGCTGTATAATTCAGAGCTAGTAGAACATTGCTGCAAGCAAAGTAATGAGGGTAAATTAGTAGGTTTTAATGTAGATAATTAGTTTTATAATAAATAATGAATAAAAATAAAACTTCCAAATAGCATGCTGTACTCACAGATGTTCCTGTAGGGACCCCTTTAAGGCCAATAAGGGGTAAGATAGAGTAGAATATTGAATAAATTTACAAATTAAGGTTTACAAAGAATCTAGTTGAAGATCTGAACATGGGATTGCTGAGAAGCATAATTATATATTGACATACCCCTACAGATGCTGACTCATCTAACAATAATAAGTCTGAAAATGTTAGCTTATATTCCTGAATCCTAGATACAACTTATCAAATGATACAGATATTAGAAAACAAAGTTTTCCCAAAAGATAGTGAAGATGAAGGAAAGAAATTGGATAAGCCCAACTGATCTTCTCTGCCTGTATCATGGGAATAAGGAATATTATAAGGATAAGACCCTAGTTAAGGATCAATGTGCTATTATAGTGGCAGAAATATCAGGAGTCTATTAGGGGCTGTGTGATGTCACTGATGAATGTAAATATGCCATAATAGCAGCAGGAGAATGATTCTGATAAAAATACACAGGTTTCATAGCTTGATACAAGTAATGGTAAGCACTAAGGAGGCCTAAGTCAAACCACATTCCAAGTCAATGTTATGAGTCTTACTACAAGAAAGACACAAGGATACAGAATTGCTAAGCAGATGAATGTATGAGTACCACCAAGACATATTATAATGAGCCTAATAGTGCAAAGATACTAACTCAGCTAGATGCTTATGTATCTCATTATAGACTTAAAGCAACAGACATTAGGAGTTGTACTTATACAAAGCGAACTGTTTTGGACTACATGAGGACTTTTAGGCCCTTGGTGTCATGATTTTATCATTGCAGTGGCTCAGCTTTGATGTAGTATTGATTAGTCTTGTTCTTTGATGCAGTGGAATATCATAACACAGTCATGCATGCAAATAAATCAATAAAGCAATATGAATTATATAAAACATCAACAATATTTGTATATGTAATATGTAGTATTGCTATTGCAACACCCCTATCTATAAAGCCACATGCTAATTATGTCAAATATTTACCAGTTTACCAATCCTTAAACATAGGAAATAGGTACAGCAGACTCACAGGCCACTAATAAAAATCTTTGTAACTAATTCTTTGACTTATAGCTAGGCTGTATGATGTTGAACATATCTGTGACAAAGTAGAGTTATGCACAAGGATGTTGAAGATGAAAACATCTGGCCATTATTAAAGACTATATTTTCTCCTTCCAAAAGCAAAGATCATAGTATCAGAGTGGTCCCTAGATGGTGGGAAATAAATTAGATAGATTACAGATAAGAAGTTTGAACTTTATGGTGAGGTCACATCTGTTAAATGACTATTGTGTGAATATGAGGCTAGGTAGCATTTATTAAATGAGAGTTGCATATGGCATATAGATTTGTATCATCATAAAAAGGAGGAGTGTTTGGATAACAAGTCTCCTAATATATACTTTGAGGCTTCTGTCAAAATTTGAAGTTACTCATATTCCAATGTTATATAGAACCTTGTGATACAATTCTTTTGTTTTTGCTTTGAAAAGAGTACATTTTCAAAATCCTACCAAACTTTAATATTTTTATCTGTAGCCTATCATTGCTGCATGTGAACAGCACATATTTGGTTAATACCAATTCATATTACACATAGATTATATAATCACACACATATTTCTATTAGATCTTCATTATTTTTATCAGCTATGTTAAGTGACACATGTAGCCTACAAAAGCATCTTCAAGGCTTCACAACTTCATTCCATAGGATACTAACATGAGAATAATTCATGATTGAAAGTCATGTACTTTTTGATTTCTGCCACTATCTCTCTTGCAGTGTTTGACTCTATTTGAAAAATGTACAAATTCTTCTCTCAATGACATTGCTCCCATAAGGAATTATGGTATTTATAATAATTATAACATTAGTGATCTATTGTATTAGGGAAATAGCTGCAAGCGAATTTTTTTTTTTGCAAAATTTATGATGACTTCTTTCAAAAATGACATCATATGGCTGGCTGAAATGCATGTAGCAGTCAGCATATCATATTTGAGGCTTTGTCATATCACATGAAAATAATAATCTTATAATTTTTAAGTCTCAGAATATTATGAGATTTAGAATAACATGAAGTAATATAATAATATCAAAATGAGCCACAGTTGGCAAATACGAGATACTATAATCTTTAAGTATATTGGCATATTAAGGAAAGTTCATAGCAGAGTGTGTAAGTGAACATTAATAAGGATATTCTTAATATGCTACTATAGCTCTTCATGTAGAATATTGTCATATCTCATATTCCAGACCTATGTCTGACAATATTCCCACACCTCATCTGGACCTTCTGACGCCTTATCCATGTCTCCAGTCCTCTACCCATCCAGATCCCTGCACCTCCGCACATCCACATCCAGATCCCTTTACCTCCGTACATCAGACCTCTATACCTCCACAGCTAGCCTGCTTCATTCATCCTTTGTCCTATCACCCTCATGTCATATCCCATACATCCATGCATCTCATCCAGACCATATCCAATCCAATCCAATCCAATCCAATCCAATCCAATATACGATAAGCTACTTAATTCATTTCCTGTGCATATAACGTTAACACAGCCTATCCGGTATTCCTTGTTCCCGGTACCTCGGTTATACTTACTACTAGTATGCTTACTGATCTGTTAACCTATGCTTCATACATAGCCTCGGACCTTTGCTTATTAATATTTCTGATAGTCACTTAGTATATAAACTCTTGTATATGTCCTGTAGTTCCTCAGTCTGAATATCATATTAGTCCTCGCACTAGATCTCACTCTAAGTCCTCATATCAGTTCTAGTCTTCCAACTTAGTTGTTATCCATCTCAGGCCTAGGGATTTTCTCCCTAGGCCAGAGCTCCACTTATCCAATACTCTGCTCATCCACTCATCTGATCCTCCATAGTTTCCAGAAGTTCATCTGGATCTTTCCCATGGTCCTCTGGACCTATTCTGCTTCAGACTTTGTTCTTGCAGCCTTTCCTCTGTTTGCTTCTACTCAGGACTTGTCCTGAGTAGCCATTATACATATCCATATCAGGACGAAACCTCATTGTAATTTGCAGAAGTTCCTCCAGAATTTTCCTGCAATCATCCAGAAATTACTTGCACCCGTCCAGAAAGTCCTTCCGAAGTTTCCCACGCCTTTGGACATCCTTCAGACATCTTTGGACTTTCTTTGGACACCAATCTGAAATTAAGGGCACATACTCAGGTAAGGGGCGCAGCACATGAGCTGAAGCCAAGCCCCTCAGAATCAGTCCTACCCTCTGTGCACAGTCTTAACAAATATGAATAATCTCTTGAGTAGTTAGTCTTGCTACCAGCCTAAGAGTTCATTAATCACTATTACAAATTGCTATTTGAACTATAATAACAAAAAGTCAGTCAGACTAAGTATAGTAATAATAATAATAATCTTGAAAACTAGCTTACATGGTTATATAGGTAGTTTTAAAGACTGATTTGTTACTTAAGATCTTCAGATATTTTAGGCTAGAAAAATTAGAAGAGTTCAAATTGTGAAGATGATAATAATTATGCAATATTACAATTTGGACATAACTCATTAAGACATAAAAGATGAAGGTAGGCTTTGGTTGTGTGAAAGATGCCAAAAAACAAGCCTATTTAAAACAACCATATGTTGATACCAGGTGCATTAGTGCATGCATGTGCAATACTTTGCCATATAAGTATACATTTTGAATATATGTATATATCATGGTTGTTATGTTCTTGCCATTTTTTTATGAATGGTACACTGGTTGGTAGATATCTGTTAAGACCGTGCACAAAGGGTAGGACTGATTCAAAGGGGCTTGGCTTCAGCTCATGCACTGTGCCTCTTACCTGAGTATGTGCCCTTAATTTCAGAATGATGTCTGGAGAAAGTCTAAGGAAGTCCAAAGCCAGATGAGCGCAAGAAACTTTGGAAGGACTTTCCAGACAAGTGCAGGAAAGTTCCAGAGGAACTTTTGGAAATTACAATGGGGTTTTGTCCTGATATGGATATGTGTAATGGCTACTCAGGACAAGTCCTGAGTAGAAGCAAACAGAGGAATGGCTGCAAGGACAAAGTCTGAAGTAGAATAGATTTGGAGGACCATGGGAAAGTTCCAGAGGAACTTCTGGAAACTTGGAGGAATGGAGGATCAGAGGAGTGGAGCTCTGGCTTAGGGAACTTCTCCCTAGGCCTAAGATGGATATTGACTAAGTCAGAGGACTAGAACTTGATAGGAGGATTTAGTGCAAAGACCAGTGCAAGGACTAATGTTCAGACTAAGGAAGTACAAAGATTCTACAGGGTTTATATACTACTGAGGACTTAATGGAGAATCAGTCAGCGCAGTCCAAAGCCATGTGAGGCTTTGGATGGAGCATGTAGAAAGGTCTAACACTAGTCTATCAGAAAATAGTAAATAAAGACGGAAATGAGAACATAGGAAAATAAAGCCGGAAATGAAATGAAGTACAGAAAATGAGTATACTCTAACTTAAGAAGGAACATACAAAGGGAAAAGGCATGGAAGATAGATGTGGGTTGGATCCAGATGTTCAGAAGTCAAGAGACAGGTGATTACCATAAGGGGATGAGCGCTGATTTAAGGTTTGGGTTCAGATATGAAGCATAGGTCAGATCCAGAGATCTGGAGATGTGCATATCAGATCTGACATCTGGATATCAGATGCAGGAATACAGGGATCCAGACGGATAGAGAATTTGGTCTAGAGCCATGGACAGGAGGTCCAGGGATCCGGATGGGGTGTGGGAACATTGTCAGATGTAGGTCCGGAATGCGGGATATGACAATATTAGTTAGTATTTTTTGAATACTTTAACCCAGTAGCTTGTTTATTGTCATTCTTTTGATATTTTATCATGCTTGAAGTTTCATCTCCAGAATCACTATTGGCATCAGATTTAGCAAATAATTTAGTAGCAATATTATCATTTCAGAGACAAGCATCTCCATTGTGTCCTAGCCAGATCCTCAAGCTAGTTTTGATCAGATAAGAACTCTCCATCCATTGACTGATCTGATAAAAGGTAAGCCTTTGATATGGGCTTTTGCAATAATTTATATAAAAGAGAGGCTTAGCAAAATAGATATGATATTTATAGACCCCAGAAGGGACTTGATCTTGTGATGCTTTGCTTCAAAAGAAGCTATTATAGAAGCATATTATCATGTATATTAGGACAATATACAAAAAATAAGCTAGTTATGTACATAACTTCTAAAATAGTGATAGCTAACTACTTGCAATGATAATCAGCTCAGCTCAATTGGAAAATGAATCTGAAAGATAAAAATTCAGATATAAACTAAGGTGACAGCAGGAAATAACTGATACTAAAGATATGAGTTATGGTATTTCTAAACATTAGTTTAAGAAGAAGACTATGGAGGCAAAATGATTAATATATCATTACTTGCCCAAGCATATACATACATGCCATGTATAGACCTGTAGCCATAGTGGATGATGACTTACTTTGATGACTTCAATCAATGAACATGCAACATCAGCAGATAGCAGTGAGGTGGGATTAGACGTTGAGCAGACACAGGACATGCTCATCATGTAGCCCACAAATTTATGCGGAGCATCCTAGTCTATATCCTCAAGCAGAAGATAGTTACATGTGTTTTCTGGATTCCATCACCAAGTTCTAGCTTTTGGGGCCATTCTTTGTCCTTTTCAAAGTAAGGAATTTGAAGAGTGCCTCACTTGTGAGGGTCTTGGCCACAGGCAAACTTGTGTATTCGGTGTTGAGTGCTTTCTTTTTGGTCAGTCTTTTTACAAGTGAGTGCTTGTCATATACGTGAGTCTAAATGATTTTGGTGACCTGTATGAGCTAAAGTCAGTGTCTTGTGATGCATCTGCTAATGATATAGGTACTTACCTCTCTGGGGTTGTTATGCCTGTAGTCAATAAAATGCAGATCTTTCCTAATGTTGGCCATCATCATGCTAGACCAACTGTCCATTGTGTGGGTCTTTGTGTGCAACATGCAATAATAGTTGAGCAGCATCTTGAACCATCGACAGACCTGTAGATTAATTCATAGGTGAGCTGGTCGTGTTACATGTCCTCAAACAGAGAGTAACTTACTTCTCCAATACCTCTCTCTATCTTCATGAATGATGCCTAAGCGTACATCATCATGAAACCTCTGAGCAACGGCTTAGGAGCTTATGTTTTGCCTTCCTGAGGCATGAGATGTAGTGTGACATGTGCTATGATTCTGTCAAGGTTCATTAAAATTTTGTTGTCCTTGATATTAGTGTTTGATATGAGATTCTATGTGTCCTACAGCATTTTGATGACCTTGGAATAATAGGAACTTAAGTGCATTATATACTTCAGGGTCATGTCCCCAATTATGTCCAATATGTTGCTGAATGCATCCTTAGTGTGTCCAAGGCCTCAAGGATCTGGGCCCATATGGTCATGTCGCACCCTCTGCTGCCCTTCTTCATCGTCTCCTGCAATGCCTTGATTTGTTTGATGACATCCTCATTGCCTTCTTTGGCTCAATCCTACAGCTTCACTAAGGTATTGTAACTCACGGATTCATCTTGCGACCCTAATTTCCTTAATGTGCTTATGCATATTTTGTACCGAGATAGATATATCTTCATTTGAACACAAGTCAAGTCAATGTTCCAAATCATGAAAATACACTAACTCCCATACACACGTCAATCAACTTCAACAGCCATGTCACAGAAAATTTGTGTTGATATCTGATGTGTGGCCCTAACACCAGGAGCCATGTCACGAGGAACAGACAAAGTCTGTCATGATGCAGCACCTTCTACAGACATAAGTTCTTCTTCACTGTGTTGTGAATATCTTCAAGCATATTTGTTGCCAGGGCATCTTATTTGTCTTTGGGCAATGTATTATACATGACCTTCACTTTTTTCAACTCCCTGATGAGTGACTTTTCATCTGTCTCCTTGTAGTCATACAAGGTATTGTTTCTACTCAGATGGTTGGCTAACTCATTGCCATCCACAAGTAATTTGTCTGCAAGTAAGTCCATCAATATTCATTCTCATGATTGTGATCACACCACCGTAGGAACCATGCCAATGGTGGGTTAAACAGTTCATTAATACATGGTTCACACTCACAATGGTAGCAGATGCTAGCCAGATGCCACCATGATAGGCTTCTTGTCCTTCATCTGCAGTTGGCCTACCTTCTCTGATTCATTGAAGTTTTTCAACAGTGAGTCTTTATTAGCCACACATTTGATATGGTCGATCGTTGTATACCTCAAATTTCAGGGTGTCTCCGTCCTTTAACAAATCCATCCAGGCAACACCGACTTTGCATTTCACAACTTGTGAGTCTAATTTCTGTATCTCCTTTCTGAGGTCTTTCTTCAGAGCCACCACTTCTATAGGGCTTTGATTCTGGTGCAGGTGTAATCCACCTACATCCTGATTCATGTTAGTATCTCATTGGTCAGTCTGTCCTTCAACTTTTTAGATGTTAGATACTCACTCCTTCTAATGCTCCCTTCTTTCCTTCTCCTTTGGCTGCTAGAGTAGTCTCTCTAGGACTTTGAGCATGTCTATTGTGTGAATTTGTAGCTGTGCATAGTAGGCAAAGTTAAGAATTGAATGTGCAACTACCAAGATATGGCTGTAGGCCACAACATCAATAAACACAAACTCTAAGCTCATCAAACATGCATCTAGGCACTGTTCTAGTGAGTAAGCTAATAAATACTTATTGCATCTCTTTATTTTCACTTCTTATCTATTGTTTCACAGTCAAAATGTCTTTCTTAAAGTGTTAGAGCCTTAGATAATCAGGCATCAGCTTAAACTATACATTTATCTTGTCCTCCCTGATAATATTGATGCACCACTTTATGAGATGGTTCTTAAAGACTTCTTTATGTAGTTGACAGGCCTTTAAAATGCATTAAGAAGAGCAGATATGTGAGTGCCTTTATTAGGATATCAGATGTATTGCAGTAGGAAGGCAACTACTTCAGTAAGAAGGTTCCATGTTTGATATGTCTATAGATTAAGTGATAATATATATTAATATGTTTGGAGTAGATATAGTTACAAGCCTCCTGTAAAGGGAAATAGTGTCAGTATTATTCATTTCAATGGTAATAGGAAGTCGGAAGAACATATGCAGTAAAAAGAGATTTAAGCCACAGACCTTTCTAAATAATGTGTGTCACAGCCATATACTCTGCCTTAGTTGAGAACAACATATAAGTAGTGTGTTTCTTCAAAATATGAACAATGATATCTCCTCTATAGAATCATATATAACCCAAAATAGACAACTGATCCTCTAGGAAGCTAACCTAGTTAGTATTACAGTATCCATGGAGCACTTCATTAGCCTCATCTCCTCCATAATAAAGGTGAAAGTTGATGATACCCATAAGGTAACACAGTAGCTGTTTGACAGCCACATGATAAGATAAGATGGGTTTCAAGTTCAATTGCACTAAAGTGTCTATCATATAGGAGATGTCCAGCATGGTGGATCTATAGGTGATATAAAGAGCATACTCTCTTAAATTGAATGCCCAGGAACTTCTTAACTAGCCTGAAATCCTTTATCTCAAAATACATGTTGACTTTCTCCTTCATATCTGCAAGAAAAAGAGGGAAATTGAATATGCCTAGACTGTCATTCATAGGCCATCCAATAATACAGAATGTATGGTTCCCAGTGTGATCAACATGATCATAAATAAAGATAGCATAGTCAATGACACAGTATGTGAACCCAAGTTCCTATAATAGCTCTGATCTCCTTATACTATTCTATGGCAGATTGTTTGAGCCTATATATAGTACACAGCATGCAACATACAATAATCCTCCAGTCACCCTATTTGAACTCTTTAAGCTAGCACATATAAATCATCTCCTTCAAGATGTTCCATAGGAACACACACTGTGCATCAAAGATATTTAAGTCTCAGTTGTGCTTGTATATACAGTGGCTCAAAAAAGTGTTTCAATATTTACAACTTTTCATGTAATTGCTTTATTATGAGCTATGGTGTGGGAATATGACTGAGCTACAGGGAGATGTCAGAATGCTGTACTTCTCAGCCTCATTTATGTTTCCTATAGCATGGGAAGCTGATGTTATTATGTGCAAATATGGCTAATATGTTAATTTGGTGACTCATTGAGACACTTTTTTGGCTTTCAGTTTGATCAATACAATCTCTATAATTATAATACTTTGTGTGCCCTTCTTTTGCTGTGATCACTTCTGTCACTCTTCTAGACATTTTATCTATTAATTTTGAATATTTCTTCTTAGTACTCCTTCCTCACTCTGCTGCAACTCTATTTTATAGCTGAAATAGCCTCTATGATGAATTTTGATAGGCTGCAACCAATTTCTTGAGTATTTTCCAAAGACATTCAATAGGGCTGAGGTTCAGAGACTGTACTAGACATGATAGAGCATTAATATCATGGTCTTTGAGTTGTTTTTAACTAAATTGAAAGCTCATTTCATGTAACTAAAGATCTTACATTCACCATATTCTAACTAGATAGCTGCTAATACTACTAAGGCCACCTAATTCATCAATTCTATTATCTCCAGTACTGTTTCCACTTGAACCATTAATAATACTTTTAAGGCAGCAAATCTTAAAGTTATGATCAAGAAGAAGAAGATCCTTCATCTTTAGCCTATAAAAAGAGGAAATGAACTTTAGCTTTAAAGCACTGGTATTGGACTGAAAGAGAACTAGAAGAGAATTATCTTATAAGATAAGACCAAAATCAATATGATAAGGTCAGATGGCTGGGGATACATCTATAGAAAGACAGTTGAATTACCAAAAAAAAAACATATAAACTCTTAAGTATGAGGTAGCAAACATAGAAGTATATGGCTATATGAGATGGAATAGAGTATATATTCTCTGTGAAGTGAAAGGCAGAATGAATACAGAGTAATACATCTCTATTTTAAATAAGAGTCTACTAAGAAGGATACAGGAATTATGGATTGATGAGAAAGATACTGTCTTGCAATAAGATAATAATTCTAAGTATATCTCAAAGTTAGCTATAAATAACTCAAAGACCATGATATTAATGCTCTATCATGTCTAGTACAGTCTCTGAACCTCAGCCCTATTGAATGTCTTTGGAAAATACTCAAGAAATTGGTTGCAGCCTATCAAAATTCATCATAGAGGCTATTTCAGCTATAAAATAGAGTTGCAGCAGAGTGAGGAAGGAGTACTAAGAAGAAATATTCAAAATTAATAGATAAAATGTCTAGAAGAGTGACAGAAGTGATCACAGCAACAGAAGGGCACACAAAGTATTATAATTATAGAGATTGTATTGATCAAACTGAAAGCCAAAAAAGTGTCTCAATGAGTCACCAAATTAACATATTAGCCATATTTGCACATAATAACATCAGCTTCCCATGCTATAGGAAACATAAATGAGGCTGAGAAGTACAGCATTCTGACATCTCCCTGTAGCTCAGTCATATTCCCACACCATAGCTCATAATAAAGCAATTACATAAAAAGTTACAAACATCGAGACACTTTTTTGAGCCACTATAATTGTAGCAATTAGACATCACAACATGATCTTGAGGACAGGCACAAAGGTTACACCATAATCAATCTCATGAATTTGAGAAAAGCCCTGAGAAATAAGTCAGGCCTTATAAGTAGGTCCACCTTTATTGTCCTCCTTGAAGTCAAGCACCCACCAATTCCAAATTGCCCTTCTTCTGGTAGGGAGAGTTGTGATCTTGTAGACAGACATCTCCTTCATAATTCCCAATTCTTTCTATATAACAGCCAACTATTCCTCCTAATCTAGACAAAGTGAAGCTTCTTCATAGGTTGCTAGAAAAATCTTAAGGTTATAGTCAGGACTAGTGGAATTGCATTATCAATTATTACAGATTGTAATGTTAGAATATTCTTCTATCATGAGGTTAGCAAAGACTTCAGATATGTCAATGTTCAGTTCTATTTCTTCCAGATTCTTTGGGATGGCTAATTCTACAGGGATCAGGTCATATAGTACTCCCTCACCTATGATAGAATGGCCTATATGCATGGTATACACTTCTTGCAACTCAGAGAGACA